CTGGTGAAGCAGCCGACCTCGCCCTTGGTGAGCGTGCGGCCAGAGAAGGGGTCGTAGTACCCAGGGAGCAGGTCCACGCCCAGCACCTTGATGTCGCTGCTGTTGAGGGTGCTGCAAGGCAAGGGGCTGCATCAGCAAGGCGTCCCTCCCAGCCACCCCCCGTCCCCTCCCCAGGGTGACATCGGGGGCGCTGGCAGAGTAGGGATGTGTCCCCCCACGGTCACCTCCCATCCACGGCATCCACCACCCGCGGGGCGATCTCCAGCTCCCGCAGGGACGCCAGCATCCGCCGACGCCGGTCTGGCCTCCGCACCAGATTGATGAGGAAGATCTGGGGAGGAAGGGGAAAGCCCCGCCGAGGGGGCACGTCATGGAGGGAGACAGCCTGCCCAGCCACTGTGGGATGGGAGACAGGGGGCTCAGCCAGCTGGGCTTTGCCATGGACAGATGCAGATGGAGGGACGGACAGGGGGACATGGGGGGTCCGTTGGGCACTTACTTCATCAAAGCCCATTTTCGTGAGTGGCTTGGGGAGGAGGGAAATGTGCCTGGAGCGCTGCATGGGGGGGCCATCCACTGAGGAGAGAGAGGACGCCCCTTCAGTAGAGCCCAGACCCCCCTAGCCGGTCGCTGGGGCCCCGACGGCCCCCATGGGGACCGGCGCTGGGCCCCCATCACCCCTGGGGTGGGGGACACCTCCGGGACCCCGCCACCCATGGGTGCTCACCCATGGCCTCTAACGTGAGATGCACAAAGTTGGCGCGTTCGTCCTCCAGCGTCTGGTGGGCCTTCACGGGGACGTTGATGTAGCCAAAGCGCTGCTGGTTGCACACGTGGACCTCCGCACCTGCCAGGTGGGACAGGTGAGTACCACGGCCCCGCCCCAAACCTCCCGGCCATTCAAACCTGTGGCCCCCCTGGCCCTCACCGGCCGCCTGGCAGGAGTAGGCGAAGACGATGATATCGTCGAAGGCCCAGGTATAGTTGGGATGGGGCGGGTAGAAAGCCAACCGTGACGTCTCCTCCTTCCGCAGGTCAATCAGGAAGGTGGCGTAGACCATGGGGACAGCAAAGCAGCCCACCTGCTGTCGGTTCTTGGTGGGGAAGTAGTCAGCCGTCCGGCGGTAGTATCCCTGCGGCACACTGGCGTGATGCCTCTGTGGTGGGGGGGCTCTTCCACCATGGGGGGATCCCCTTCCCCGGGGCTTTCTGGGGACGTACCTGGGGCGTGATGCCACACCAGAAGTTGGAGTAGAAGGTCTGCGAGTCCAGCATGGGGGCCACCACCGACTTGTTCTGTGCCATGAGAAACTTGAGGGTCTGGTTGTTGGTCAGGATGCTGTCGGTGTCCACAAACTGGGGGAACGGCACAGGTCCTGGAGGTGCGGGGATGCCTGCCTCGGCCCCCACCCCACCAACACCCCGTGTCCCTTACCAGGACGTAGTCCGCCCGCTGCTCCCGTGCATAGGTGAGAGCCTCCTGCTTCAGCCTCATCAGGTTTTCGTAGCGTTTGTCGCTCCAGTGCTTGGGCCCGAGCTCGTCGGGGTAGGAGCTGGGCAGGGGGGAGGCAGGGGTTAACCCCGCTCGCTGGGAACACACAAACTCGGTGCGCGCCGCCGTCTGCCGAGTCAGCCCAGCTCTGCCTCGCCACCGGCTCCTCCTGGCAGCGTCCCCAGCCAGGGAGTGGGGTGCTGCTCCGGGAGCCCCTTGCAGCCCACACCCGCCCCCCCAGCACCTCCCAGTCTCACCTGGGCTCCTCCTGCACCTTCCAGACCACCGAGTGATAGTCCTTCCCCACCGCCTCCAGCCACTCCCGCAGCATCGCCGTCGTGTTATCCGAGTTGTGGTCCGTTGCGCACCTGGGGTGAGGGGAAGTCATCCTCTGGGGGTCCCCCCCAAGGGACAACCACGGCTCCCTCCCCGCACTAGAAATGTTCCTGGGGCCAAGAGGCTGAGCCAGTGACAGACTCGCTTGGGAACGTAACATGTAATTTGAAGGAACCGAGGCTGCGCTGGCAGGAGGGGGAACGCGAACGGGTAATTTCTTTTGCTGTCTCGCAGCTCTCACCCCCCCGTCCCTGCAGCCCGGCGGCAGCCCCGGCGTGCTCTCCCCATCCCAGCCCTGTGGCTGCGCACCATGAACAGCATCGGAGCACAGCGGCTTCATCCCCCCGCCCATGCATCCCACTGCACCCCACAGCACCCCACTGTGCCCCACGGCTCCGGCAGGCAGAGGAAAGGTCCCGACAGGCAGCAAAAATCCCCCTCCCCAAACCTTCCCTTGCCATGCACAGCTGCTGTCCCTAACTCTCCCACCCAACTTCGCAGCGATGTTCACGGGGACCCCAGCACAGATGGGGCTGAGCCCCACGTTGCACTGGGGCAACCCCCAAGTCCCCACACTCCCCAGCACCCCCAACCTGTCAAAGAGCCCCGAGCTGCCCCCGGTCACTGGTGTCTTGGGGACGCCCTGGGACGCAGGGGACAAGGCAGGACCTGTGCCCCCCCAGCGCCCAGCTCCGCAGACAGCTGCTCTTGAAACACCCTGC